CACCTCCCCGGGGCTCCGGCGGTCTAAGGGCCTGTGACGTCCTCACATCTGATACAGGTGAAGCCGAGGGACATACCACAGCCGGAGTGGAGGAGGATAGAAATTAGCGCTCAGGACCGAGGATCGGTGTTTCTTCGGTATTCCACCCCCTAGAGAAAAAGGAGAGTTAACCCTCGCAGTGCTGGCGGTAGCCTGGAGTACCTCTTTAACAGTAAGTCCCTGTTCACACCTAGGCGTTCCGTTAATGTGCGCCTAACACAGGGGGAAAAAACATGCGATTTGATGTACATTCACGGAACGCATCAAAAACGCGTTTGCTGTGTTATGACTTATTAATGGCACCCCCAAACGCGGAGCAAACAAAAAAACATGGCAGAGCCAGAATGTTTTTTTCCTGTGCATGAACGCACACTCAAACTCATGGGGAAAAAACACGGGATGCTACATGAGCTACTTTTTCCGTGTTTGTTGTACATGCGGCACACACTGATATTAATGAGCATGTGGGGCAAATGCAGGAAAAAAAAACGCACACAAACGCGCATCACCCTTTCTTGCAGTGAAGAATGTTCAGAACATTCACACGCACCAGTTGCTATTGAAAGGATTCTTCATGGTTTAAGCAGTGCTCATGTGGAGGGATGGCCCAAGAGAAGGGGGCAGAGCTGGGTGGGGGGCCAAACTGTCAGCAGGGAAAGCTGAGGGGTCCGTGCTGCCACCCCCTATTCTTCTTCCTGCAGTTTGTGCAGACCAATTATTGTAGTGATATGCAAGCCCAAATGCTTCGGTACCTTCCCCGATACCGTAACTTCTGGGTCAGAGGAAGATTTCCTCTGACCGCCAGTGCGGTTAGGGAACATGGAGCCAGCTTCCTGAGCAATTAGGAAGTTGGGCGGCAAGTATTGACCCGTCTCCCGGCTGCCTGATTGGCCGGAAGCTGGCTCCATGCTGATTGGCTGGGAAGCTGGCTTCCTGGCCAATTTGCATCAAGCCGGCCGAACAGCCGCCTCAATGCTGATTGCCAATCAGCATGGAGCCGGTGCTTCCCAGGCAATCAGGAAGCCGGGCGGCATGCCATTACCCGCCGCTCGGCTTCCTGATTGCCTGGGAAGCTGGCTCCATGCCACTGGTAGCACTGGTATCAGTACTTGTTATCGGTGAATACGGAAAGCAAAATATCGGTACTCGATACCGAAAAACCAGTATCGGTGCATCCCTAATCGCTACACAAATAATTGTTTGCAATTGCCCGTTTCAGCCAACCGCTTTGCCATGTCTATGGGTATCCGGAGAGGGGGCGGGATTGTGATCTTTAATATGGAAGAAATGGACTGATCAGTAATTGGTGACAGGTTACAGGGATGACTTGGTAACAGCTAGCCGCTGGCAGGTTACATAGTTAGTCAGGCTGAAGAGACACAAGTCAAGGTTAATGCTTCAAGGCTGCATTGCCCTGGTGCCAAACCTGCGTCCCTGAGGGTCTCATGTGGCCCTTGGGGCCCCTGCAGACAGTGGTTTGTCTTTTCCTTGCCCACTGCTCCAAATATTCTTCAGTCCGGCTTCTAGTAATGAGATGGTTCGCTTTATTTATTTCAGTGCAATGCAAATATTATTTCATTAAACAACTGATATGTATAAATAACTTCTTCATGTTTATAATGTGGAGTTGTGTTTAATATTTAGTTAGTTAACCCTTTAGGCATCTTCCATCATGTGTAGATCAATGTCTCTAGTAGTACGGTGGTTAGCACTTCTGCCTTGCAGCACTGGGGGGGGGGGATCCCTGATTCAAGTTCTGGTCAGCACAGCAGCTGCATGGAGTTTGCCTGTTCTCCCTGTGCTTGTGTGTGTTTACTCCGGTTTCCTCTCACATGCTAAAGACATGCTGGTAGGTTAATTGGCGCCTCTATGTATGCATGTGAGATAGGGGCCTTAGATTGTAAGCTCCTTGGAGGCCGGTTCACACCATAAACAGTGCGTTCCAGAGCGGTCAGCCTCTGGAACGCACTGTATCGTATTCTGGCCTGCTTCCTGCATTCAGGGACTGGGCGGTGCAATGAAGTCAATGGCACTGCAGCCCTGCCCCCCGCCCGCACCAGAACGCTGCGTTCTAGTCTTGTACGATGTGCAAAAATAGTGCTTGCAGCATTTTTGCAGATTGCACTGGCCTAGAATGCAGGCATTGGCGTCCTGGGGCAGGGGGCGTGGCTGCTGTGCCATTGACTTCAATGCACCGTCCTGCGCCGACCTTTAATGCGATACAGTGCGTTGCAGAGGCTGACCGGTCTGGAGAGCACTATTGATGGTGTGAACCGGCCCTGAGGGCGGGGACTGATGTGA